GGGAGGGGGGAGAATAGGGGAACCCATGGCTGATATGTAGAACTGAATGATACTGTAAAATAAAAAATATATATCAAAAAAAAAAAGTTGCCATGGGTATGGTGTCTCTTCACAGCAATAGAAACCTTAACTAAGACAGAGGGCAACCTTGATTCCAGAACCAGCTTCTCTGTGAGCTCAAACATGTGACAATTTACTAATATAATGTATATTATAATGATATGGTTATATAAACCATCTAAGCTCAACAAGGAAGATGAGGGAGATGAATGGAATACACCCAGCCCTTCGGTGCATCCCCCACAACTTTAATGTAATTAAACTCAATGGCAGAACCAAAACTACACCAGTAGGAGTTTGGAGACATCAAAGGAAGGCCATCAGTGCTCCAGCACTGTAGTAACTAACAAAGGAGACCGTGCATCCCAGAGGTAATACTAAGATCTCCACACCAATAGACAGGGAAAGGGAACTGGAAAGCAGAAGTCCACTGCCCAATGGGGATGTTTAGGCTGCGGAAGCTGTAGAGAGGGGTTGGCCATCACTTGTCCGAACAGGTAGTTGCAGATTTTTTGCAGATCCATAATTTCATTTCTTCACATTTGGCATCATTCCAGCCATCATTTCTGAATTCCACACAGTCTTGTCCCCCAATGTTGTTGGGCTGTCCTTTATTCCAATACTTCTCAAGGCTGCAAAGACCATTCACAATTATAAAAAACAGACACATGAGAAAATCAGCAGCATTCCTATATATGAAAGACAACATGTATAAGAAAACATGTTGCCAGGTGGTGGTGGCGGCGGCGGCGCACGCCTTTAGTCCCAGCACTCAGGAGGCAGAGCCAGGCAGATCTCTGTGAGTTTGAGGCCAGCCTGGTCTCCAAAGCGAGTTCCAGGAATGGCGCAAAACTGCACAGAGAAACCCTGTCTCGAAAAACCAAAAAAAAAAAAAAAAAAAAAAACATGTTTCGCTGAGAAAGAAATCAGGGAAACAATCCCATTCACAGTAGTCTGAAAATACCTGGGAATAAACCTAACCAAGGGAGCTAAAGACTTCTACAATGAAAACCTTAAAAACCCAGAAGAAATTGAAGAAGACATCAAATGATAAAGAGACCTCCTACACTCAGGAGACCGTTGTGAAAATGATCACAGCAACCTCCAGGGCTAGTGTGATCCCCACCAAAATGCCAACACAATTCTTCATGGAGATGGAAGTATTAAATTTCATATGGAAGCACAAAAGACCCAGGATGGTCAAAACAATCCTGAACATTGAAATTGCTGCTGGAGGTATCAGCTCTCTTCATTCCAAGGCATACTACAGAGATGTAGCAATAAAGACAGCATGGCACTAGCATAAAAACAGACGTGTCGATTGGTGGAATTGAACTAAAGATCCGGAGGTGAGTTCTTGCTTCTAAGCTACCTGATATTTTTTACAACATAGGAGAAAGGATTGCTTCCACACGGTCACCTGCACTCTATGAACCCTGCTTCATAGCTCCTGGAAACGGGGTGCTTTCATAGATTCCCTCCACATGCGTGGCAGACATGCCCTGTACTGGACTCGTGATATTCTTAGGTCACTTTGAACTTTGTGCTTGTTTTCCATGCTTGGGAAGAGAGCACACAGAGCTCCTGTCCCGCAGAGCACACAGCTATGAGATACAACCATACAGTGTAAACTTCACAGACCCAGTTGTCACCTACACTGGCCTCCTATACTCTGGGTCAATACACAGTAGTCGAGGGCTAAATACTGAACGACCAGGGACAATGTCTGCACTCTAGAACTCACCACCATGTTACCTACATCTAAGTTCTCCTACCCAGCCTTGGTACTCCTTCCCGTGACATCTAATACAGGCTCTTGCCCACAGCTCCTCTTCCCTCCACATCCCCACTAGCCTAGGTCCTTCCCCACATGTGATGAATGTTCCTTCTCTTAGGAAGATCTGTGAGTATAACATGCTATCTTTTCATGTGTGTGTGCATATGTATGTATGATGCATACATGCATGTGTGTATTGTGTATACATGCATGAGTGCATGCATGTGTGATGTGTCTCTGTGTGTCCATGTACGTGCATGTATGAATATGTATGTGTGTGATGTGAGTGTATGTATGTGTACATGCATGAGTATGTGATATGTGTATATATGTGTGTGTGTCTGTGTCCTCAGGAGCCATCCATCCTTTTGTTTGAGGTCTCCTACTGGCTTGGAGCCACCAGACTAGGCTGGTTGACCCATGAGTCCCTGCAATTCACCTTTCTCTGCCTCCCCGGAGTTGGGATTACAAGCACACACCACCACGTCCAGCTCTTTAAAAACAAACAGATATGAACTTTAGAGATCAAACTCTGGTCCTTCCTCATGCTTGTGCTCCAAGCAGTTGATAACTGAGCCGTCTCCACAGTCCAATATTCTACCCTTTAAATGCTGTAATCCGTGGCCTGGGGGCCTTACTTATCAAGTGGTCTATGATTATACATGTGGACTACCCACACAGACTACAAACTCCTCCTCCAGCTCTCATGGTGGAACTTCTGTCTTGTCTGAACATCATGCCCTTCTTTCTCCACCTAGACTCTTATGTCTAGAGAGTCAGAGGATGTGGTGAGAGAGTGTGTGGGGGGGAACTGGAAGGACAGTACAAGTCAGACACATCCCTCCCTCCCGTTCAGGGTGTTCCCTTTCCCGGGACTACCTGTCTGACAGAGGTGAGCCATCCAGCCAGTACCATGCACCTTCCTTGTTCAGGTCTGACAGCCCCATCCAGGTGTAGCCATTTTTCTTAGAAGTCTGCTGCAGGAAGCGCTGGAGGGGGAGAGAAGGAGTCAGGTGGTAGTATTCCCCCCCACCCCAGCTTGTGTCTCTTCCCCCAAGGCCTCATGTTCATCAACAGATTGCAAAGCATTTGTCTTTTTGGTCAATCAATCATTTTAGTTGGGGCGCCCTACAGGAGAGGGCACCTTCCCAGTGGCTACACCCTGAAGAAAATGTCTCTCCGTCCCTCAGCCACTGGTAACTGCTTATGGGAGGCGTGGGGCCTTGGTATCCTCCCATTCTTACCCCTAGTAACTGCCTATCAATCCTCAGGGAGGGGTGGGCTGGATTCAGTGTTTGACAGCATTATTCGGAGGCTATGGAAACTGGAAAGTGTGGCTTAGACGGAGGGGTTAGACCACAGTGGCAGTGTCTTTGGAGGAGAGTCTTGTCTCTGGTCCTCTCTCTCTGTCTTTCTGCTCCTGGCTGCCACGGGGTAGAAAGCTTTCTTCTGCTATGCCTTCACACTATATTTCTGCCTTGCCACAGCAGTGGGTCCTGCTGACTGTGGACTGAAGCCGCTGAACTCTGAGACAGATTTTCCTCCCTGGGGCTGTTCTCAGATATTTTGTCACAGCAGTAGAGCTAATGTGCTCCCCGATCTCTTGGCAGCAGGGTCTGCTTGGAATAGTTATTTATTTATCTAATTTTTTTTTTCATTTTACATACCAACCACAGTTCCGCCTCCCTCCCCTTCTCCCACCCCCCTCACCTCCCATCCACTCCTCATAGGGGGTTAGGCCTCCCTTGGGGAGTCAACACAGACTGGCCTACCAAGGTGGGGCGGGACCAAGCCCCTCCCCCCTGCATCAAGGCTGAGCAAGGCGTCCCTCCATAGGGAACGGGCTCCAAACAGCCAGTTCCTGTACGCGGGATAAGTCCTGGCCCTTCTTCCAGGATGCTTGGAATCGTTTACCCCTTTCATAGTTCTAGTGCGCCAGGTCGGGAGCCCCCATGTGTTCTCAGCAGTTCACTTCTTTTTTTTTTGTCACAGGTCTCATGGTCTAAAACTCATGTAGCTGAGGATGGCCTTAAACTCGTGATTCTCCTGCCTCTGCCTCCCGAGGGCTGGGATGACAGGTGTGCATTACCACCTGGCTTATGTGACTCTGAGGATTGAGCCCAGGGTTCCCGTACATTAGGCAAACACCCTTCCAGTTGAGCCCCACCCTCAGCCTGGTGTTCTCAGGGGTTCTCAGTCATCTGCACACCTGTGTCCTAGGGGCAGATTTGATCAGACTTATGATGATAGTGTGCACAGCTGGCCGCCCATCACATGCACTTGATGACACTATATGTTTTTCTGTCGTATGCGTCCTGAGTGTGTCCACGTACATTTACTCCAGGCCAGTTTTACCATCCTGGAGCCAGATTGCATCAGTTTGTGACTGGGGGTCATGCAAGTGGTGGCATCTTTTCAGGTCTTCAGTGAGTGACACCTCATTGGCCACTTGAAACCAACCCTTGTGAGAATATTTACACCAAGGAAACTGTAAACAAAACTCACAAAAATTTTTAAAAGACCCCGTCAGACAAGCTGATATGCACTGGCCAGCACACCCACAAAAGTCACTTTCCTTTGCAATGCTCCCCAAAGCATTCATTCATGTTGAGAACTGGTGTATGCCTTTGAAAGGTGCCTGGGGACACCTGTTCATACTCTTCTTTTCACCCTTTCCTAGTAGAGCAAGTAGCCCATTTCCTAGGAGACACCATATGAACAAGCATCTCTGCCCTTGTTGGCCAGCATCCAGAAGAAAGCACCAGAACAGTTAGCCAGTCACACCTGCTCCTCATGACTCCTGACGACGACCAGCTGGGCCCCCATTTCCTGGCAGGCAGTGATGGAGTTGTGCCAGTCTCGTTGTGACTTGGAGAAGAAGTAACAGTTTCCACTGAAGAATGTCCAGTCCCAAGGGCAGCGGCGACAGAGGCTATCTGTTGGTGAAGGTAGATCAGGTTGGACCCATATTTGAATCTTTTTGTTCCTATGTTTGCCCAGCTTCAAGACCTCCAGAATGAGGATCCTCCCTTAACACAGTCAAGCCATTCCCTCTCTCCACTCCCTAAGCCCGTTCTCCATTCCAAGAGAGTCCAGGGTATCTGGACCCACCATTCACAGATGACAGAGATGGTTTAATTGAGTGCCTACTGTGTACATGGCTCCCATGCCCACCACGTCTTCCTCATTTTTTATCACTATTCCCAATTCACAGATAAGGAAGTGGAAGCTAGAGATGACCAGTGGCTAAAATAAATGACCCCACATGAAGGCCCTCTCAGTCCCGGGACACTTTGTTCTTGCTCACTCACCAACTTCAGACTTCAGCTGGCTCAGGTCCCGGTACATTTTCTCCTGCTTCGTCTGTTCCCACTGCAATTCCTCAGAGCTGGGGATCTTGGAAACTTGACAGAAGAAAAAAGATATTGCAATTATTAAACACCTACTGTGTACCATGGATCGCACAGACACCATATTTGATATCCAGTGTGCTATTTTATCTCATTTAAAGATAAGGCATGCTGATACCCAGAAACCCTCTGCTGCTTCTATTCCCTTCCCCATTGAAGTAAACGTGGAGGGCCCCAAGAAGCTGCTAGCAGCTGCTGAAGGACCCAGGCTACTGCCAGCACCTCCTTTGTTAGACCTGGAGGCCTGAGCTGAAAGGTCACCCAAGAGACCCCCGAATCTCTGAGGTGATCCTGACCTTGGATGACGATGGCCACGAGGAGTCCAGCAAAGAGAATGAGTAACAGCAGCTGCAGCACCAGAGGAATGTGGCCTCGGTCCAGAAACCCTGCAGGGAGAAGGGTGGATGGATGCTCGACTGCCTGGCTCAGGAAACAGACACAGCCTCTTCAGGTCAGAGGCCAGACCCTTAGCTCTACCTCCCCAGGAAGGAGTCCTGGAGTCGGCTTCTGATTAGAGGTCCACATCCATAGCCTGCACCTTCCCAGGCCCCCACTGTCCAGATCTGCAGCTCCAGCCCCCGGGATCCAGGTATTTAGTCTCAACCCTTCACCTTCTCAGGACTCAAGAGTCCAGAGAATCAACCTCTATCTCCCCAGGTCCCAGAGGTGGGATCCAGATCCTCAATCTTCACCTCCCAGGACCAAATTTCTGCTGGGAGGTACGTGCTTCTCCTCATCCCATGACGCTGCTCTGCCTGGGAAACTACTGAACCCTAGAGTTGGTAGGAACCCAAAGTGATTTATCAAGTATCTGTCAGCACCAGTTCTCAGCTGTGACTAGCTGTTTCTTATCTAAGTGGGCAGAGCATTGGCCAGAGCCTGGGTGTGCAGAGACCTGAGCTGACCCTCATCCAAGTTGCCTCCCCAAGCTTCCAGACTTCTAGTCTTACCCAGACAGCCCATCTGCTGCGCCCTCTCTTCTCTGGAGACACTCACAGTCATCACTGCTCCTTGCCCAGCGCTGCTTGGAACAGCAGCTTTTATCTGCCTCCTACGTTGCCTTACTCTTCGCAGCTACTCTTTCTTAGGAAGAGGAACGAGGAACTGGGTTCCAGCACCGGAAGAGGGTAGAGGAAGGGAAAGACTTTGACACAATATAGCAGGTGCCCCAAGTTCCAAGAACCTCAGAGAGGGGCTGTGTGTGTTCTGGCCTCCATAGCAAAAAGATCTGGTTCACTTATGGAATGGCAAAGCTATAGGATGATTTCCATGGAAATAATAACTTGTAATGTAAAATTACTTTATTTTAAATTTGTGTGTGTATACATGCTCGTGTGTGGATGCATGTGAGTGCACATATATGTGCATGCATTTGATGTATGTACACACATATGGAGGCCAGATGGCAACTTTGGATACAATTCTTTAAGTACTATCCATCTTTTTTTTTTTTTTTTTGGTTTTTCGAGACAGGGTTTCTCTGCGTAGCTTTGCGCCTTTCCTGGAGCTCACTTGGTAGCCCAGGCTGGCCTCGAACTCACAGAGATTCTCCTGGCTCTGCCTCCCGAGTGCTGGGATTAAAGGCGTGCGCCACCACCGCCCGGCTTATCCATCTTTTTTTATATATAATTTTCTATTAAAATTTTTTTCTTTCCTTTTACAGACCAACCCCTGTTCCCCATCCCTCCTCTTCTCCCCCATCCCACCCCCACCCCCTCCTCATAGAGGATAAGGCCTCCCTTGGTACTCAACACAGGCTGTTATACCATGTTGGGGACAGACCTAGCTCCTTGAAGCTAGGTAAAGAGGAGGACACTAAGAGGGACATACATGGGAAAGGGAAAAGGTTAAGATCCCCTGGGTAAACTGAGAGGGGGGAATAGAGGGGAGGGAGTGGGAGGTTGGGAACATGGGGGAGAGACAGGGAGGGAGAGCAATGAAAGAGATCTCTTGACAGAGTACACTGTTAAGGGGATGGGGAGAAAGCTGCAACTAGGGAAAACCCCAGGAACTCACAAGATTGTCCCCAGCTAAGACTCAGCAGTGGTGGAGAGGGTGCCTGAAGTAGCCTTCCCCTGCACTCAGATTGGTGTCTACTATCCATCTTCTAAAAAATATTTTTAATGGGGGCTAGAGAGACAGCTCAGCAATTAAGAGTGCTGCTGCTCTTTTAGGAGCAGACTTCAGTTCCCAGCACCAATGTCGGGCAGCTCACAACTACCTGTAACTACAGGCCCAGGGGATCTGACGCCCTCTTCTGACCTCACAAGGGCATTGTACTCAAGTGGCATACACACAGACACACATATACACATAAATAAAAATTAAAAATAAATCCTTTAAAAATGTTTTACAGCATATGCTAATTTCACATAGCAAGTTTCATTAGAGTATTTGCATCTACGTACACAATGTATTTTCAAAAGATTTGTTTTATTTTTAAGTGTGTGTGTGTGTGTGTGTGTGTGTGTGTGTGTGTGTGTGCATTAAGTGCAGGTAACTGAGGCCAGAGGTCTCAGATTCCCCTGGAGCTGGAGTTACAGGTCATTGCGAGCCATCTGACATGGACCCAGCTCAGGTCGTCTGTAAGAGCACTACATACTCTTAACTGCTGAGCCATTTCCAGACCACAGTATGTTTTGATTATATTTACTTGTTACTTTCTCTTTTCTCCTTCTTGCCCATGCCCTCTCTCTTCCCAATCACCCCCCTTACATATGTAGGGTGAAAGGGCCAAGGAAAAACACCCCGACCCTGACTTGGGAACAGGGATTGAAATCTCACCAACCCCTGAGGTCCCTGAGCGCAGAATCCCATCAATCTGTGGGCACAAAACCCCACAAATCCCAAGTCACCCCGAAAAGCTCCGCCCCTCCATGGAACTATCTCACCATAGAGGCAGCCACCCCCCTCCTGGATTCTTCCCTCCCAATAAATCTCTTGAATGAGGTTTGTTGGGTGATGGACGACCTTCTTTTGCCGGAGTGGAGCAGAGCAGAGAAGTAACAATTTTTGCCGGAGTGGAGCAGAGCAGAGAAGTAACAATTTTTGTCGGAGCTGGAGCCCATTTGAGCTCTAACACTTTTGCTGAGGAAACCTTCCCTGAGCAGAGCAGAGTTGTTACGATCCGGGGACGTGAGCAGAACTGTAACAGCTTCGCTGCCTGAGCAGAGTTGTTACATCGGGAAAACCTTTCCCTGGAGCAGGGCTGTAAGCGGCTGCACTTACAGTGACTTTGTGGTGTTCCTTGGCTCCCGACTGCCAGGATCCCTTTCCATCTAAGCTGCAATGCCTGCACAGCCCACAACGTATTTGGATCATATTCACCTGTTACTTTCTTTTTTCCTCTTTCTGTCCATCCCCTCCCTCTTCCCAACCACTCCCTTATACTTGTGTGTGTGTGTGTGTGTGTGTGTGTGTGTGTGTGTGTGTCCCAGAGTTCCACTGGGGTTTGCTTACAGAAGACACAATGGTGAGGGTTTATTACAGGCGCATGGAAAATCTTAGCAGTGGCTACACCACTGGAGAAAATGTCTCTCCATCACCAACATTTAACTGCATCCTCATGGACACACACACACACACACACACACACACACACACACACACACACACACA